GAGTCGCAGGTGCAGCACCACACGGTGCAGCACCACACGGCCTGTTTGAGGGTCCGCACGGCCACCGCAAGGCGCGGAGACCCACTGCAGCCACCTTTCAGGCGCACTTGAAGGTTCCAACATCGCAACCTTCCTCAAAGTGAAAAGTCTCAGAATACAAGTCCCCCTCCTCCCCGCACAAGTGGAGGAAATAGATCATTGACAGTGACATGCGACTGATGCTCACACACCCGGCTTCTGCACACATATCCACTTCACTAAATGCAGTGTGGAAAGCTCACTAGGCGCACTAGCCACTCAGTTGACCATGAAGGTCAGCCACACGAACCACATGCCAAAGTTATCGATACCAGGAAGTGAAATTGAAAGCCAACAGCCAAACGAACCGGCATCAAGGCGTATCAACAGCCGCAGCCACAAAATGGTTATACAGCTATACAGTACTTGCCATGAACGCTGCCACCGATAGCAGTTTATCTTGGGGAGAGGAAGTTAGGCATGCTGATTCTCAATATGAACTAGATTCGCACCGTCTCCGTCATCGTGCAACCACCAAAAGAGAGCACCTGCGTCACGGCGACGCATCAGGTCAACGCAAAGTGCATCGACATGTCCATGAAATAGGGACACATCCCCACAACATCGCGCAACCCACTTGGCAAGAAACCGATTGATTCTGGTTGGCCCTGGAAAAATCTGAATCACTTGTGGCTTGTGTAAGTTCAGCACGCTCCAAAGCTACATCTTGCTCCATCTCTAGAGCTCGCCGCATCCAAAGCATCTCCCCCTCGGCGCCGTTAGGCTCGCCGTTTGGGTCTCATCGGCGACGACTCAGCTGGGGCCATGGCCACTAAGACCCTTCGAATCTCCAGCTCCAGCTTGGAGCTTAGCCTTGGGCGTCTTGGGTGTTAGACTATAATGAGCTTATTTCGTTGGGTGGCGAAAGGGTGTTCCAGTATCCAACTAGCGGACACCAGAAAACCGAGCTTGTTTTGGCCGACTCCGAGGGACCGACAAACCAAATGACACAAGCTACTAGTCGCGTCCTTGTTCCTAGTAGCGATGGCCTCCACCTAGTGGCGTCCTTGCTACTGCTTTCCAACCAAAGGCACAGGTGACATCATTGATCACTACATGAACTCTCGCCAAGTAGCGGCCATGCACGTGTTGGGGCGGTGACCCTGAGGACGGTGAGGAGTGAGAAAGACTGTGACAAGGTCACTGCGGTTGAGTGCAACAATCTCAACGCAGGAAAGCCAAAGCAAATCAAGCATGTCAAACAATAATCTAATGGAAAAAGACTCTCTTGCACAACTGCCCCCTTGGTCCTGCTGCCTGCTAGTACAGCTTGCATCTGGTTTATGTTAGTTGGCCCTCGACCTTCTTAGCGGCACGCGTCTTGTGAACTCAGCTGCAGGCTGCCGGTCAAAACCTTGAGAAGCTCCAGCCTCAGCGCTGTCAAGAGATGCACGCGACGTAGACAAAAAAAAATAAAAAACTAATAATAGGTCTTCATTTATATAGGTATTAGTTTGTTCTCAAGAGTCCACATCAAATGCATGAGACTCATGACTCTTGCTTTCAGGGACTCCGATACTTTGGCCCCCCCCTTGAGCAGTAGTCAACCAGTGAGCAAGAAAATACGTAACTACAACCCCCTCAAGTGCATCAACATCCCTTCCCGAAACTTTCACTATTGTATACTACACACAAACACACAGGCACACACAGACATAATTATACAAAATACTGTATACCGTCTACGGGACCTATTCACTCAACCACCGACTAGCCCAAACGACGCACCGAGCAGCGCCATCTCGGGGCCATCTCGGCTCCCCACGAGGCGCCGGAGGTCCGCGAGCTTGGCCGACAAGCCGCGGAGAGCCGAAGCCTCAGCTTGGAAGGCGGAATGAAGTGGGAGGATTTGAGCTTCAGTGGTGGAGATGGAAGAGGCAGAAGTCTGCAATGGAAGGCATGCGATAAAAGAAGGGGTCAGCAGATTGACGGACATAAAGTCTGTGGACTAGTCGGTGTCACGTGTATTCACATGTGACTCTGATTGATTCAGGCTTCTTGGGGGTCGGGATACGAAAGAGACACAGATTGAAGACTTCGATTTTGACAAGAACAAGCCATTTATACAGTAAGTATAGTAATTATATAGTAGGCCCCTGATGTTACGGAACCAGCACATTTGGGGGGGAAGGTATCAAAGCAGAAGGGATACAAGGGGAAAACAAAGGCCTTGCAAGATCACCCATAAGCCTACCGGTTCCTCAGAAACAGAAAAAGGACACCCAAAACCATTGCTGCTGTTCCAAAAACCGTATGTTTGTTTTAAAAACAGGCAAGCCAATGCAATCTCGAGGAAAAAGTGGAGAAGGGATATGCCTCCACCTAGTGGCTTCTTGTTACTAGTAGTGATGGCCAACCTCATAGCGATCGCCTCCACCTAGTAGCTTCTTGTTGCTAGCTGCTAGTGGTAGTGGCCTCCAACCTAATAGCGATGGCCTCCAGCTAGTATAGTAGCTTCTTGTTACTAGTAGTTATGTTCAAAAGCAAACTTGGAAGGTCCAAGGCCGCGACCCACCGTGTTCGCAGCTCGGTGTCTAGCTGTCCTCTGCTGCAGGAAGTGCACCGCTGGATGTCTTGAGACCAGGAAACTGAAGCTGGCATTCGCTCGGCATCCAGAAATGCTAAATGAACTTGTCAAATCGAGGATTTGCAGAAATCACATGCAAAGCCGGGAAAAGGTTGGTGCCCCCCAGCATCCCACCTAACGGGATTTGCCGTGCTGCAGCTGCTGCACCTTGTCATTGGCAAACCACTGTGCCGAGTCTACTGATGGTTGATCTTTGTCATTTGTGGAACAGCTTTCAAGGCTGCATCTCACTACCGGTGCTCTAAATGGGTGACATCCACACGTAACGAAACAATTCTCCAAGGAGGCCACTTGCCAATAGTGCTACACCAGCAGCAGCTTCGCTTGCTCGGGGAAGAACCTGACACTGACACGATATGGCCGGAGAGGCTGCCTTCGTGAGAAAAACGAGAATGAGGAGCTCCTTGTTGCAGCAAAATGCCGCAACAAGTTCGTTGCCTCCTCAACCAAACCATCCACAGCAGCTCTGCGTGTAGCAAGCTGCTGTCTTGAGCCTTGCAGACTGGAACAGGTTCCAAAACGCGAATAACTCGCAGAACACTCTGTTTTTAAGGTCATCACACTGCGAGCAGGATAGCAGGACCTAGGAGTCACGGGCTGATGGCATGTATGGATCCAGCAAACATAAGAAGAAAACATGAACCTAAACGCCTGGCAACGCTAAGAGTATAGCTGCCACAAAATAGGCAATAGCAGCAAACAGGAAGCCTGCCCAGACCTGGCCGCGGATTTCAGTCTTGGAAACCTACGAACATTTGGGTCAATTGTATTTGGGTTGCCTTTTCAGTGGTGGCCGTTTCTGGGGGGACAGACTAGGGCGAACAAGTGCGGCCACACCTCTGGGCCTTGAGAACGCACAGTGGTAGCAAAACAGGCCTGGCGCAGGTGGAAAAGAAATCAATCACAATGGTTGGAGGGCCAGAAATGAAGATTCCCAGAATCCAATAAATGTCAAACATATACTATACTGTGTTGTGTTGAGGCACATGGGAATCAAATACACACACACAGTACAAGTAACAAGCGTGTCTGACAATGGTTTGCACTTTTGAAATAGAACCTGAGGCTTTGACCACAGCAGCACACGAGAGGCACATGCCAAGGGCAAAGCTGGACAGCTGAGGGCCTCAGTATTATTCAACATCCCTGACCATTACAAACATGTATGTATCCATGTATGTGTGAATATCTGTATGTCTCTATGTATGTACATACGTGGATGGATGCATGTACATAAATATAGCCATCAATATAAATATATATAGTTGTGAATTTATCTATACAATATGTGTGTGTGATGTGTGTGTGTGTGTCTGTATGTGGGTGTGGGTGAGTGTCAACATATGGGACATGAAGGATAATGCTTCATACCATAGTATTTCATATGGAATGCAGACGCACCCGCACACACGCACACTTTCAAGACTGAGTATGTACAGTCTAAAGGCCACTGGCTGTGAAGAAACCTTGGTAAGTGGGAAAAAATGTTAGTGCTGCAGCGAGTTTCAACCACCTTGAAGTTCAAAACCACAAGGTTCCAATTTCACAGAGCTGTAAAGCTCCACAGCTCCAAGCGTCAGCTACTCCGCGTACTAAAGTTGTACTACAAAGTCACAAGGTGCGGAAGGTACGTGACTCCAGTCTGACCTTGCCTGAAACAGCCTGTGCAGAACCGAAGTGGGAGAGCTAAAACTGTTGAACATCATCCCCATGAACATGCAGCAGGCAACTCCGAGATCACCAGATCAAATGGACGTCTTTGTTGGTAGCGGGTCCAAATGATCTGCTGCTACTTTCTGGAGAGAAACTTGAACGACCATGTACGACTCCTCAACTGAAAGGGTTCTCGCAATGCCAAGGAGCTACGTTCGTAGCTTCTTGCTCCGTTCGTAGCGATGCCAATTGTTACTTTGAGCTTCTAGCTACTAAGCCAAGTCCGGCTCTTTCTTTCGAAACATGCACCGTCTCAACGAAGGATCCCTCGGTCCGCCCTGCCAAGCCACCCAGTCGCAGAGCCCCAAGGGCACTCCAGCTCACAAGCGCTGCCAAGACGATCCGAAGCACCAGCATCTGAGCACACTTCAGATGAGCATATAGATAATATATATATATATATATTGAATAATCTTTATATCAGATTGTAGATGTATTGTAGGTTCGCAATGCTTTCTAATTAGAGGAATTTGAGTGACATACATTTCGCTGATAGCTTCTGTGCATAGAACTACTTGGTACAACATTGTGCAACAAAGGAAAAAGCAGCGGACACCACTATACTTATATAGCCCCAGCATGTTCACAGAGAAAAGCCATCTCCGAAACGCATGGTGACACCTCTTTTCTGATCGGCAACATCTCCTAACGCTCTCCCAACGCTGCTCTTGTGGCATCGGGGAAAATGAAAATGCCAAGCGCAAGAAGCACTGCTGCCGCTTGGCCGCCCACGACCCGAGCAGGTGAAACTCTTCAAAGGAATGCCAACAAAGATTGTTGACGCTTTTCCTCCAACTCCTTCTCCCACTGAATATGGCAAGCCTTCATTTCCACGCCCGCCCAACCAGACCTCATGTCACACTGCGGCATGGTCAACCCCCTAGGAAGATGAGACATCAAGCCGATGTGCCGTCAAAAGTCTGGAAGAATCTCAGGGGTTGCGAGAAAAAATATGGAGAGTCACCCATTCCCTGGCTGGTCCCTGGGCACAAAATGTCGTTGGTGATTTCTTTTATGGTAGGTATTTTGGTGCTCGCACTCCCCACATTTGCCCTCCCATGAGCTGCTCTACTCCCAGGAGCTGCTCTTGGAAGTCGAGCACCACCTCTGTCTCCAAAGACGTCCAGGCCCTTGAGGCACCCTCACTCAGCCTTGGGACCAGTTGAGACCTCACTTGTGGATCTGTATTGATCTGTGATAGTTGACTCAAATGAATTCTAACTTCTCATTGCTTTTGGCTTTGTCTGATGGGACGCTTGAAAGCAGCTAGTGGGAGTACTAGCACCATAGCCAAAGCGCGTGAGCCAATTGCAGTGTGCCTCGGTTTTGCTTCTGTTTCGCAGCCGTTTGCAAGCTCACACCTGTGTTCTGTCCAATCAATCTGATGCACCAAAGTGAGGAAAACGATGCTCTGATGAATCAGCAACTAAGGGGCCTCCGCCTCAGCGTCTTGCGAAGAAGTTTCGTCCCTCCAGTCAGGCAGTGCCTGCCAGCTAGCAGCCAGCCAGTATCTATATATATTATCTGGTAGAATGGTTCTGTCACCCACTTCAAGAATCCAACATGCTCACTTTGAGGAAAGAGTATGCGGGTGACAATTCAAACATAATATTCTCTCTGAAGCCTCTAAGTGGGCGTAGTCTTGTCGTACTTTTTGGGAGCGCCCTTGGGAATCGGGCACGGACCGATTGAACATTGCAACCGCAAGCCTCTGCGGCAGCATCTGCAAGCCTGCGATGTTCCTTCCAAGTTCATTGAGCTCTTCCAAAGACGGAAGAAGAAACCGGGGATTGTCGTCCAGCGTTTGAGAGGGAACCTAATTGATCAAATCGGGGCGGAAATCTGGTCTTCCTTGGTCTCCAAGTACATTGATCAAATCTGAATCAAATCATCTCAACTCAACTCGTAGTACATCTCTTGCACCTTCTGTATTTCATAGCATGTTTCTTAGGATGGCTCATGGGCTCACTGACGCCTCATCTCGAACTAAAGCTTCCGGAGCATCTCGCAGCAGGTGGAAGGCATCCAGAACGGTTAGAACCGGTGACAAAAGGAAGTCCTTGGCGACCATGCGGCGCTCCCAAGACAATGCCTAGAAACAACATCGGCAGAAATCAGACTCCAACCAGGGTTAAGGAGTTGAACAAGCTCAGGCGCAAGTCATGCAGTTCTCTAGGCCAAACCTGCATCCTTGATCTAATGTTGCATTGCTCGAAATTAGCAAGGTGCACACCAGGAAGGGACTGTGCAGTGGCCAAGGGGCCGCAGCCGAAGCCAGCCGCCCCAGCCAGCCAGGTACTTCTTGTAGTCTTAAGGCTCTGGAAAACTCCGAGCAAAAGTCCAGGCAATTCCCTCAGATTTGGGTTCGAGCGATGGCCTGGAGTTCTGGAGCGTGTGGATTCATGTCGGAAGATCGATGAAAAAGAAGCCATGACTTCAGGACATGACTGGTTGAATCCCCGAATAGGCTCGTGTCTCCGTGTCTGAATGCTCCCCGTGTGGAGTCTAGTAAGTGCTTGGGGAACTCGCTGTAGCTCCTGGGTTCCCTGTTTAAAGGGGAATATGGATAACCCTCGTCTCCGTAGCTCCTTCCTAACAACCCGCTTGAGTCATATCGGAGTCATATCCGCACATTCGGGTTCATGTGGCTACTGGATTGGAACAACCCAAAATGTGTCAACAGGCATGGCTGCTTTCCCTCGTTGCCAGGCAACGCTTCAACGGGTGATACTCATGGCTCAACCATCGGGCGGCCAACTTCACCAAGATTTGCCACACTTCCTGTGCGCTCTGAACACGTCGAGAGACATTGGAAGATTCAATCATCTGTCACTCTTTCCTCAAAATCTGTCAACATGATCGGCTGCGCTTTCCCCCAGGTCGCTGCTTCTCTTCTCATTGCACAAAGGGCAACGTGCCTTTTGTTTGGGCTACACGGCTACATCCCAGTTATATGTAAATCCCTTGTTTCCTTGATCCGACAGCCATCTCCCCACTATTCGCCACTTCACACGCGCACACACACACACACTTATTGACATGCGCGCTGACTCGAATGCCGTTCGCCACAGGGCAACCTAGGTAACCAAGGGCCTAAGAGGTCAGGTAAGTTGAAACCAAAGAACCTACGAAACCTGAGAACCCCTGAAACTTCCAAAGTCTCCAAAACAAGTTCAAACCCCAAGTTCACGAAAGACCGTGGTGAATCGCCGCTGCACTAGCTCTTTACTGATGGACACAACGTATCAAACAATTTGTGCTTTACGTAGGTTTCTTTCCAAGCAGGTACGTTGATCCGGCGTCCCGGATCAATATCACCAGCACATATCGAGTGTCTTCGTTGGTGCGAGACTGGATAGGCTACTTGCACCCCCGGCTGGTTAAAAACAATCTGAAAGGATCCCTGTGAGCCCAAGGGTTACACACACGCCTCCCCAAAGGGATACGAAAAACTAAGTGACGAACAAACACTCACTCACTCACCCACTTACTCAGTTTGTCCGTGTCCCCCGGCTTTGGGAACGTAGGTGTCCGAGGCGGACAGCAGGAGGCTTGTGCCAAAGTCATTTGCCAAGACTTAATGGATTATTGAATTCCAAGTAGGCCGCTTTCGCGCATGCCAGAACGTGTCCGCAGCGGACGTGAGTAGGCTTCATGCCACGAGGTGGTCGCAGCGACCAAAGCTTTTTCAAGGCTCAGTGAAACCTGTCGTAACCTTAGGTGCACACACAACATGTACAACGAGGCAGGTCTTCCTGGGTCGTTGTAACGAGGTTTGGCTTCATTGGTTCCCGGCCGGTTTCCTTTTTCGTCCTTTCCCCTTTTCAAACACTTTCTTTCCTCCTTTTGTTTCATGTCTTTCCTTGCTTCGTGTCCTTTCATCTCACGCCCCCCTGTTCAACGGGTCCACAGGGGCCAATAGTGGGGGTCACCCTGGGCTCTCACTGAGCAGCGACACACTTATTGACATGCGTGCTGACTCGAATGCCGCTCGCCACACGGCAACCTAGGTAACCAAGGGCCTAAGAGGTCAGGTAAGTTGAAACCAAAGAACCCACGAAACCTGAGAACCCCTGAAACTTCCAAAGTCTCCAAAACAAGTTCAAACCCCAAGTTCACGAAAGACCGCGGTGAATCGCCGCTGCACTAGCTCTTTACTGATGGACAACGTATCAAACAATTTGATACAATTTGTGCTTTACGTAGGTTTCTTTCCAAGCAGGTACGTTGATCCGGCGTCCCGGATCAATATCACCAGCACATATCGAGTGTCTTCGTTGGTGCGAGGCTGGATAGGCTGCTTACCCCCTGCTGAATAAAAACAATCCAAAAGGATCTCTGTGAGTCCAAGGGTTACGTAAGGCTCAAAAGCTCATGAACATTCCAATTTGTTACACTGCTGTTACTCGATAAAGTTGGGAAATTATGTATGATGCTCTTTCTGGATGTTCTTCGAGTGCGTATCCTTTCCGCACAACTGTCGTTCCTCTTTTTGGGGCGCCTGGGCGGAGATCGGGATCGGGCCCAAGGAGACGGATTCGCGGTAGGTGGCGCAAGGACAGCTACGCCTTGGATCACCCAGGCGTGGGCCGAGGCGTCTGGAGAGAAGAAACCAAACCCTCCTGCAGGGATGGGGCCCCACCATCTGGAGGGAGTGCCAAAGACCTTATTTTCGGCATGCCATGGCGTTCCAAAAAAGATTGTCGCGGCAACCAGTTCTGAGGTGGCTGATGTCTTCCAATAGCACATCCTGCATGTGATTGTCGTTGATTCTGTAGAAGCTCCACAGGGAACAAAAAGTATGTGTGAAGCTGCTTCTCTCATGGTCGGACTTTCAGAACTGCTTGTTTCAGGCATCAATGTCGGCAAATGGGGATTCTCCAGCAGCTATCTAAAACTTTTTGATGCAAAGCTTTCGGGTGAGACTCGTATGAGCGTCATCTGCCACGTTTCAAGGGCATATTGAGCGTGAAAGTCAAAAAGAGCTAAAAAGCCTGAACTGAGAATCCCTTCGCAGCTTTCGTCTGTGACCTACATCGGGGAAGTGATTGCACGAAAAGTGTGACAATTGAAACAAAGAGTTGTCGTATGTTGTCATTTCCTTCGTTTTGAGATTTTCTCTCAAACCCGAAGACGGTGCGAAGAACTGCCCACTTCAGGGAGCAGGACCGAAGACCCCCCACCAATGGAAGTCTAACCTGGCAAGGAACCACATGGGCCATGGGTGCTTCTTGCAAAGAGTTTGCCTGGCTGGCATTCAGTTGGAACCCTCTGGAAGCGTCCCCATGAAAGCTTCTTCCAAGACTCGGCCGCATGGGCGAGACCCCCGTGTACGGGAGCGCCCCCGGCGGCAGTGGACAACCACCGAAGGACCACCTCAGGTCGAAGAACGAACGTCAAAATGAAGAAGAAAGATGTAGCAATCACACCTGCAGCACAGGGATCGTGGAGGACATGCGAGGACCCTGCTTCAATTCCACCACTTATTATATAGGGATTTTAAACTGATCTGAATGAATCGCATTCATGTTGTTCAGATTGGAAGGAACAGAATGAATTGTATACCAAGACTTACCTCACCTGGATGCAACCGACTCTGCCAAGCAGCTCAACACCGTACACCTCCAAGCCGGCATGGAATAATCCAAGTCCAAGAGGATGCAAAGTATTGTTGGCCACCTCGGGAAGTCTCTTTATTTGGGGGGTGGAGGCCGAGGCAGTTTAGGATTTCTTGGCACCAAGTGTTGAAAACCTGTTCTGCAAACTAGGGCCAGTCTCGCCAAACATCTTGGCTCCAAAACCACTGCAAGGGGTCCACTTTTACATTGGCAGTGAATTCCAAAACCCAACTCATCAAACTCATCAGCCTCACACGTGATGGACCAGTGACCCGGGACGCACCGAAAAAAGTGCCCAAAAACGCAGCGTGCCTCGGTCCCATTGAGATCGTACACATGAAGCCATGCTTCAGGGCCTGAATCAGGCATGGAACGCCAAATGGGATGTAGTTGACCTGCTGGGGGTGTTTGAAATGGGTGGCAAAAAATCCATGTTCTGGACTGCTGGGGGTACCTGGAAGGTTGTCGAAGTGAATGAGCTCCCGGCCCTCAAACTCCAGCCGTGTGCCCCTGTCATCTCCAGCAATCCTGAGCCCATCTCAGCCGCTTTACTGCGAGATACTGCGAGCAAGGGGTAGGCATGTCACAGCAAGACTGCACTTCACTAGTAGTAGCAATAGGTGAAGTGCACTGCACACTTCATGTGAAACATATCCACAACCGCCCCCGAAGATCGCCGTGAGATTCAGCCAATTGAGGGTGTTTGGCAGCACGCCAAAGAAACATGTCTTGGTCTATCAGGATGAGTGGCAACCATCAAGCTTGTGTACTTCCTCCCTGACAGGCTTACGACGTGGCGATGCACGATAGGAAAGGCCGCATCAAACCCACCGGAGTGCAGAGAAATGGCACCCAGCAGCATCGCCGTTCACCCGTTTCGCCAACTGCGCGTGGAACAGCCTAAGGCCCTGGCGCCAAGAATCCATCTCTCTCCTGGCGAGGAGAAGAAATGAACACAGTGAACATGCAACAAGGAGCAAGGACGCTACTAGTAGTAAGGCCAGGAGCCCCTACTAGGGTCCTTGCTCCTAGTAGCGATGCCCTTTGCTCCTAGTAGCAAGAACAAGGAAGGTAGAAATGTGTGGTGAATTCGGGAAGCACTCAGGTCTTCAGGAACAACACCCACTCGACTTGCTTGGCGCCCTTCCTTCGGCTCCATGACGGTGGTGCGCAACCGTGGTGTGGAGGGCGTGGAGGCCTGAGTCTCGGAATTGATCTGAAATCTTTAGATATGAATATATATATATATTTATATTTATATTCATATTATATATACCTATAGGTATACTATTCCCTACATATATATATATATATAGGTAACAGTAGTATACTGTATATTGTTTATTTTTTTGACCAGGGCCCCCCTAAGACAGAAGTGGTCCACCTCTTAACCTCTAAGGAGCTATGATTAGACACCCCTTAGGGGGCCTAGGATGGCCTAGGTATATGTGTCGCGTTAAATTGGATTATTGTCACACAAAGACAAAAGCCAAGGGATCTTCAGTCTCGAAACTCCCCGGCCGCTCACGGGCTGCACTGGTAGCGATACCAATGTGTTTTCCACGCGGAGTGAAATGCTAGAATGCTGGACAATGCTGGCGGACTCCACTCCCACAACGACTCACAACGCGAGTATTACAAGCTGTTCAACCTGGAACCTGCAAGTGTTTGACCATGTGAAAGCCTGAGACTGATCTGAAGGTTTAAACATATCGCTGGCCAATGAAAACAACACGATCTTCAATGCCAAGCTTCACTGGGCGAAGACGTGCTCATAAACAAATCCAGGGGTGCGATCATTGCGCCGAACCATCAGAGATCCAGCAATTGCTACGCTGCTTCGTCGTATCTTGAAGATTTTTGTGATGCATGAAGAGTAGGCGGGTGGTCCGGTGGTTGCTACATTTCGGCTATCTCTCTCCCTCTAGCCGTCTCACCGGGGCTGTGTCATGCTACGTACTTCTTCAAGGGAGCACAAAACGGTGCTTGAGCCCGCCTTGCCAAGCTTGACTGCTTCACTCCGAAGCCTGCAAAACGCAAAGCTTCCATGGTTTGCGTGTCCTTCTTCCTCGCTGCCAACCTGAGTCCCAGACACCCAGCCAAGGGGCATTCCAGCCAAAGGGTCCGTGCAGGAGGCAGCGCCTCAGGTGCCATACCAGGAGTCCCATGTCACATGAGGCGCATGAATTACTTAGAGAAAGCGAAAGCCTGCAGTCTCCTTCGACTTGGGGAGTGGCGTTCACACATCTAAACTTGTTGGCCGGCACGCAACTCGTCTCAGCAATTGGGGATTGAACCGCCTGTACAGGTTCCATGTCGCAACTGCCTGTGAGAGCACACCGCAACTGTCGCACTGGGATGCGAAAAAGGAAACGCTTTGCGTTGCCAAAGTCTCTGCCCCTGGTTTGTCACCATAACCCAAGCACAGCTCCGCTCTACTCCTTTGGAAGAGCAGAGCTCCTCACACGAGACAACCAATCGCCATCGGCGATGCGTAGGGAGCAGGACCGCTCGAATTTGCCAGTGCGATGGTAAACGTATGCAGGGCTGGCCACCCCATTCTCATTTAACACGGTGGCAACTGTCCGGCTGTACAAGTCTGGATAACCTTCGATATTATCTGCTTCAGTGAGCTTGGAGGCGAGCAATGTGAGAGGGGCTGAGGAAGCAGGTTTCAGCAACATTCCTTTCACGGAACAGCTGGTATCCTCAAAGCAAACCGCTGGGTAACGCCCATCGATATAGAGCGAGGCACCTGGCAAATAGGCCACTTCTGCTTCCAAACCTTCACTAAAGGACTTGGTCCAAGAAGCACCCGAGTCATCGTCGGGGCGCAGCGTTCCATACACAAAGAAGCCCACGGGCAACTGCCCTTGCTCTGATGCGGCTCGACCTTTGCGCCGGGGTGGAGCGGTAGGGGGAGATGAAGTCAGCTGACTTGCACTTGCTGCACTTGCACTTGCCTTGGCGCAAATGTGGAATGAAAAGAACAAAGCACAATGATAGACATGTAATTGATTACCTCAAATATCACCTAGAATGATGAGTCTTCTAGGCAGTCTTCGGCCAATTGACGCAATCTCATGCGACTCACTTCATAATCGAAAGACTTTCTTTTTCGGCACGGTCGCTCGAGCTGACGACTTCATGCCGGGGCTGGGCGCGCGTGGAGCTGAGGCAGCTGAAGTCTTCATGCCAGGGCTGGGTGCTCTTGGCGCCATGCTCTTTCGTGTGCTCGCTGGTGTGGAGGTGCCTCGAGTCGCTGTCCGTGAGAGGACCGGGCTCGCCGAGGCGGAACTGCTCTCCACGTGGGCACCGCTCGCGGGTCCCGGAGCTTTCAGGGGGGCCAGCAGAGGCTCCTTGCAAAGGCGGGCCACCTCGCGGACAAGACCCGGAAGAACTTCACCACTTTTCCTCAGTCTCAACTTCACTTAAGAGTTCTTAACCACATGAAAGTTATTCAAGACACCACGGAATCCCAGGGAAACTAAAGACCACAAATCATCTCCCATTCTGCTGTCAAGGGTCCCTTGCAGGTGCAACATGCCTGCAGTGGCATCATCTTTCAGATCAACTTCAGGGTCGATTCGAATGATGAGCGCTCCCGAACTTTGTGCAGCCCGCACCATGGATCTCGGGCCACCTGTGGTCAATTGAGTCCCTATGATCAAGAGCACATCGCACTTATCCATCTGTTCCATCACAGTTTTCCACTTGAAGAAGGCCTCGTTGTAGCTTTCATCAAACCACAAAATCTTCGGCCGTTGCCGTTGTCCGCATTGGGGGCACATTGGGAGTCTCTCCTCTGCTTCGTCCTTGGCCGGCGTCGGTGTCATCATCACTGTGGCACGTGCACGCTCAAGGTTGGCAGGGTCATTCAAATCCATCTTGTATAGGCAAGCGCCTTCCAAACGCTCATCGCATCGCATTTCATCAATCCGACCATGAATCTCGCAGAGCTTGCTGATATCAAAGCCCGATTGCTGATGCAAACCATCCACATTCTGGGTCACCAGAGTCATGTCCACCAGTTTCTGCAGCTCTACCAGCGAGGTGTGGCCGGGATTCGGTTGCGCTTTGCGGCAAATACCCCACCTGTACTGGTACCAGCGCCACAGCTCCGCTGGCATTTCATTATATTTCTCCCAGGTGGCCAATTCCTGCGGTTGGTAGTGCTTGGAGCCAACGGTCCAAAAGCCATCGGCTCCACGGAAGGTGGGGATACCACTCTCTGCACTGATGCCGGCGCCTGTGAGCACCACCAGGTTTTGAGATCTCCGCAAGGCTTGTGCCACCCTTGCCACGGAAATGCGTGCAGCTGGACGGACATGAGAGGAGAGGCCCCCACCACCCATGATCTTTTCAACAGCCATGCGGTTCAAAGCCTCAAATTTGGCCTTGAACTCCTCCCACTTCTCATCTAGGCTGCTGCTGTATTTGCACTTGGCATCGGCTTCAGCAACAGCCTTCTCAAATTGCGCTGCAGATTCCTTCATGCCGGCAACAGCTGCCCGTGCTTCTTCTTGCACCTCCCTTGCCTTGGCAGATGACTTGGAGGCGTTCTGCAAGATCTCCATTGACTCCTTGACGCTGATACTCGCACCAGCCACTCCCAACACGCCTCGTGAACCAGGTCGGCTTCCACCTGAGCCCGGTCGGCTTCCTCCCCTTGTCGCTTCCGGCTTCTCCATCGTGACAACGAATGCCGGCGCCCCGACGTCCTTTTCCTGATGCTGGCTGCAAAATGCTCAAAATAAGCAAATGCCCACCCGACCCCAAAAGTTCTCCCCACGACCGCAAGACCCTTCCCGAACTCACCCAGCCCCTGTGATCCCCTGTGTGCAGCTCGAAACTGCCGCCCTCCTTTTTCTAGGATGCTTCCCCGAGAGCTTCAAGTCCCTACACGTCTTGCAGGACTACGTCGTCCTGTATGCTGTATGCGCGGGCAACAGCAATTTTGGGGATTGGTGTGTGTGTGTGTGTGCGTACGTGTGCCAATTCCCATGCCACGCATTGAGACACCAAGGGTTCTTGGTTCGCATACAGAACCACCAGCAGCATACAATATGCTGCGCAACCACAGGATCTCAGGGCCTTTGGGATCCCTCAAAATTTCGTAAAATTTCACACGTGCATGTCGCTATGCCATCCGCACACAGTTTCCATAATTTGTACATGTTGGAGGTTGCTTCGGCTGGGCCCACTACACCCCCTATCTTCTCAGATTACATATTCATATTCATATGTATATCTATCATTATCTGCTATATACTTCAGAATGATGGCTGCCGCGACATGTCATGGGAGGTGACGGGCCTTGGAAAAATCGATTTCCGTTGCTCACCGATTCAAACATTGAAAGCAGGTGTCAAGGCAGCAACATGATAGGTTCAACAGTTTGTGGGTAGACTTGCGACTGAGACATACTGAGACCCGTTGCTCAAAAGACTTTGGTTTCTTTGCCCGTTGCAAAATCTCAAGCAGGGCTCGAGAATTGCTGGCAGAACACTACTAGCGGGCTTCGTCGCAGCAGCAGTACACCGGGCCGTGCTGCCGAGGCCTTCGCAAGACCTAAGCAGTCAACTGACCGTCCAACGCCAACCAATGGCAAGACCTGAACAGGGCAAGGTCAGAAGTCTCAACCTACAAAAAATCCAACACTATTGTTGGTTCTTTGCTTCACTTCGTGACCAACTGCCCTTCAGAGGAAGACACAGGCCAAGCCATTCGCGACAGGCAGACTCCAAGTTCGCTGAGTCAGAACATGAATCACACTAGCATATGTTATTTCATGGTATTTGAATATACGCATGTCAAAACCATTGGCAGTACAGCAACAGCTTCTCGAAGTCTGGAACGTTTACGAATCAGGGCTGCTTCAAAATCAGGTACAGTACCGGGTGACCTCCGACTATTACGCCGGGCCATTGAAGCTGCTCAAGAACCCCATCCAGGCACTAGCTCATCATCCCGTTTGAGCTGGCAACAACTGCCAAGATGTCTATATGAGCCATCCCACGCACTTGACTTCAGAACCTAGAATATATAACTGGCATTACAATTGCAACAGCGGATCTAATTTGTTTTTGGTCTGGCTCACTTCCACTCCATCTTCAGTTGTGGTCCCGCTGTTCGCTTTCCAGTTGATCTACATGAGCTTGCGCATCCTTCACCTTGGACAACTATGGCCGCACATATGTAGGCCTTTTACATTTCCATGCGAAAACCATGGTTTGCTTGTCCCCTGGGCTGGCCTTGCGCTTCTGCAGCTGGATTTCACTGTCCTGGAAATGATGGGCGGTGCGCAAACGGTTGCATCAAGGCAGTGGAGCTGGCAACTTAATTTTGGCTTTGGCCACCGTCCCCTACAGGCGCTGAGAGGGATCACTCAAGCAATTGCAATACTGTATGCAGAGAGCCACCACCACCATTGTATGTTGCTTGGGCACATGGAAAATCAAGAAAAGGCTATTGAAGAAGTGAATAACGCAAAGATTAAACACAAATTTCAACAAAGTCGTTTGTCTGAATTTGCCTCCGACGGGTGAAAAAATAGAAAAGAACCTTGTCAGAAGTTCGCCTTTGAAAAAATGGACCCCATTGGGTAAGTATTAATAGCGACCGCCCGTCCTGACGGTTCTGATGTTGTCTTCTTTGCGCGGGCAACGCCGGAGTTCACAGAGGAAAACAAAATCCTAGGACGACCTAGTTTACGAAACAAACATAAATCAGAGATGCACCATGTCCATCAAAAGTTCCATCCCCTTGTTACATTGATGGGTATTTTGGGACATATTGGGACAAACCGATTGAGATACAATCGCTGATACACAAGGAGTTTTAACAGCCGAAGCATGGGATAGGTCAACAAAGTTTATGAAAGATGTGGAGCAACCCTAAGCATCCTTTGGTTTTGGTGGGATTTTTGTTTTATGATTTATGGGGACGCGATTCTCAGAATAGAAACCGTGAAGCAACCATGGGAAAATATCAAGCGCGCATCAAGGCAGGATGCGTTTTTTAAGATAAAAAATTTGCCTACAGTTTAATTTGTCTTTGTTACGTTAGCTCAAATTCGGAAATCCCCACATAAAGGGCCTGCCAAGGATACGTTACCGCGGGGAGGGTTGGAAATTGTAGTTTGAAGTCTGCCAGGCCCGATGACATTAGGTACCCCCCGCGCGCCGCAGCATGGGAGAAGGATTGGAGTCAAAATAGCAGGAACAACCCCAAAGCGGCAGATAGTACGAAACTTTGTTGTTGAGGTATGTTTGAAAGCCGTATGTGCAAACGGGTGACAATTTATATTGACAAAATGTGATCATGTGTGACCAGGTATTCATTCTATGATCATGAATGTTTACCCGAATGCACTCTATACCTTGTAAAGTCCGGGGCCCAACCGCTACTTGGAATTCCATAGCGGATAGATGCCCCATACGCTTGGTGGAGTGAACTGGGAAGGGGGATCCATGGTGTGAAACGTGCACAATTGACTTCGACTCAGGATCAACAAACGCGAGATTGCACGAACTTTTATATGAATAAGCAATGCTGAGATCTATGCTGTCTCCTTGCTGCAATTTTAGTTCTCTCTTTTTTGTTCATCTATGTCAGATTAAGCCGGGGCCTATTGTATAGCAGCTGGTGGCTGCAATGGCTTAGAGTTGCATGCACTCTACAAGCAACCCTGTTGAATCTGAATCTTTTTTTCTGGCAGAAACTCCTGCAACGCATAAAGCAAAACAGCCGTAACACATCAGTCAAATCTTGGCTGCCCGCCCTGCGACGCAAAATTGTAAGTAAGAGAGGAGGATCACATTGTTGCCAGGACGACGAAATCCAATTTTCACATTCCTACATGCCCAAGTGGCTTCCAATCTATACGAACCAAGGTTTATGCCCCGTGCTGCCCCCTGGTTCGAATTCCTCACTTTATCATGGTTTATCCCCACCACCAGGATGGGTATCTACGTGTTGGACCCTCATTTGGGAGTGGTGCCCGTGTGAGGGTCACCACGTGCAAGCCCCCAGGCGCGGGCTCCGTTTCTGCTCGCGGGCTCGGTGCGGGCTTGCGGGCTTGGCGCGGAATCGTGCACTCAGGCAGGCTTGCAGGTTTTTGGGATTAAGTGCACGCGTGCTCGATGTGGAGTGTCCAATACCGGACGAACTGTCCACACATATCCGCACCAACGTCAGTCTGATTCTTCAAATTGCCCTCACAAGCAAGCTTTTCACCGTATTCCACTCCACATTCATTGGAGAAGTCCTTTCTCGCCCCCCCTAGAATGAAGGCTTATGACCGACTACGTTGGTCTACCGGAAAGAAAAACTATTAAGCCCCAGATAGCGGGTGTATAGACTCAAAGGACACGGACAAGTCACTGCACAGCGCGCAGCATCAGTCCAGTCCACCAATATGTGCATCATCTTCCAGTTGAAGGCGCCAGTTTTGCCCAACACAAACGTTAAGCCGCAAGATCGGCAAAGACCAGCCAAAGCTGCCCAAACGACATGGTTGCCATTGCCGCACAACACGCTGTCATGCACAATATGACAGCATGTCCTCCCTGGCATGATATGATGTCATTTCTGGCATGACACGATGTCATCCCTGGCGTAACCTGATACCATCCCTGGCAAAACATGATGTCATTTTGAGCATGACCCGATGTCATCCTGGCATGACGCACAGCGAAATTCCGAAACGCCGATCCACCAGCACCTGCACCTGCACCAACATCAGCACCGGAGCAGCACCCCCAAAACGCCGACCCAGAGCCACACCATAGCCCGCAGCTATCTGGGGAACAAGGGGTGCAGGAATCGTGCTCTGGTGCGGGCCCAAGCGGGTTTGGCGCGGGCCTGCGCGCAGACCTTCACACTATGACCATGACCCTTCATTTTAGGAAGTTTGTGGCAAGTCTGCAACACGCCATGCCTGCTCTGTCCCCATGCTATTTCACAGGCGAAGCTGCCCTGTTGTCTTGCTGGTCTTGTGTGTGTTTGGGGGTGTCACCATGCCGGCTTTTCAGGCGCGGCTTAACAAGAAACAAGATGGAACCCACGAACCCGAATGCAAGCACGTTCCATATGCCCAAAATGACACTCTTGTAGGACACTCTTGTGGGACACTCTTCTGGGACACTCTTGTGGGACACTCTTGTGGGACACTCTTGTAGGAAACTCTTGTGGGTCACTCTTGTAGGACACTCTTGTGAGTCACACTTACGGGGCACTTTTGTAGGACACTCTTGTGGGACACTCTTAAAGGACACTCTTGCAGGTCACTCTCATGGGGCACTCTCTTGTGGGACACTCTTGTAGGACACTCCTGTGGGTCACTCTTACACGACACTCTTGTAGGACACTTCTTGTGGGACACTCTTGTGAGACACTCTTGTAGCACACTCTTGTGGCTCACTCTTGTAGGAAGCTCTTGTGGGGCACTGTTTTGGGACACTCTTGTAGGACACTCTTGCGGGACACTCTTGTAGGACACTCTTGTGGGACACTCTTGTAGGACACTCTTGTGAGTCACTCTTACGGGGCACTTTTGTAGGACACTCTTGTGGGACACTTTTAAAGGACACTCTTGCAGCTCACTCTTATGGGACACTCTTGTGGGTCACTCTTATGGGACACTCTTGTCGGACATTCTTGTGGGACACTTCTTGTGGAACACTCTTACAGGACACTCTTGTGGATCACTCTTATGGGACACTCTTGTTGGACATTCTTGTGGGACACTCTTGTGAGACACTCTTGTGGGACAGTCTTGTAGGACACTCTTGTAGGACACTCTTGTGGGACACTCTTGTGGGACACTCTTGTGTGACACTTTTGTAGGAAACTCTTGTGGCTTGTAGGACACTCTTGTGGGACACTCTTATAGGACACTCTTGTGGG